TATACAATGTTTGTTCTCCTTATCAGGTAAACTATTTTGAGTGATAGACTAAACAAGGCAATTTGTGATGAACACAACCTCCACTGACGTTATACCGTTGTTCGTTCAGCGATATTTACACAGTGCTCTCTCAATTAGTGGCTAATTTTCAAAGTTAATTAGTATTGCAATCACTAATGCTCGGCTAAGCTGCCACAGAATTCAATACAGTGCAATCTGCATATAACGAAGGACCGAGAGACTGAAAATGTTTGCTAAACAGTAAAAAACGAGGGTTACTCAATTGCCATTTATATGGAAAAAACCGGGAATTTAGGTTGGCAAATCAAATGGTTCGCTCCATTCCGTTTGGAAAGCTTCAGAAAACATGGGTTGTGATTTTAGCGATGCAATTTTCAGCAGGTTATTTGGATATTAACTTTGTGGCGGTGCGTTCGCCGCCGCAAGTAAAACTCAATAGTTTAAATTTCATGCATAAAAATATTTCCAGCCGAATGATTTGTGTAAATGTTAAGCACCCGAGGTTTCGTTAAATCGAGGTCCTTTTACTCATATTTCATTATACCAACGACCTCGTTATATAGAGGTTCGCTGTAGTGAAGCAACTAAGTTCGAAAAGGATTTATTTTATAATTGTGGACAAAACACCAGAGCAGCTATGACAGTGAATGCACTTCATTAAGTTATTTAGTATCTGCCAGCGGTGAAAAAGACGAGTTACATGTATGGTTGATACCGTTTAGAACAGTTCCCAGTAGAAACACGCTTACCTGACACCCAATGCTTGTTTTTAAGTCCAAACAGACAACCTTAACTGTTGTTTTTGGGAGTGCCTCATATCTGTAAACAGGTAAAAAGGTTTACTTACTGAGGAGAGGTTCTTGTTAAGGTATTTGCACCGGCAAATTTTGTACAATTTTGCATCGTTTTAATAGTCATTTTAGCAGTTATATCTCGTTTATATGGGTACATTGACAGTATTCTTCGGCTATTGAGGAACTAAAATATATAGAAATAAACTATGCTAAGTCACTGCAGACACCTTAAAGTGGAAATACACCGAAACACACTGACAGAGTGGTTTTTCAGCTATACATTTTAAATGTCACATTCGCCAAATTCTTTAACAAAAGACCCAGGACATTTCTAGCCTTAAATGTTTTTTTATTGTCCATTACCCAAACGACAGAGTCTTCAGTGATGGTTATACGATCGCTGTAAAATGATCTTGGAAAAGGATAGGTTTTAATCAAACAAACAGGTGGAACAAGGTGGCCGTTGACAAAATAAGGCCATTTATACGAGGAAAAATAAGACGCGTCTTACATAAGACGCGAACTGTACCATTTATACGAGAATGTCTTATATAAGACTGGAACAGCTCGTATAAATGGTTCGCGTCTTATTTCTGTTCTTGACTCGTTTTCATGCGAATGTTGCCCGTAGCAACGGCAATCCAACGTGGCGCGCCAAAAATTAATGCATGCGTACTATGCGTTCGCGTCTTATTTAAGACGCGAAGGTCATTAATACGCAGTTTTTCTCGTCTTAGCTAAGACGCCTCTTATCTAAGAACAGGTGTTAAGGGCTGTTCTAAAATAAGACGCGTCTTAGCTAAGCCGCGTCTTATTTTAGATGAAATGTGCCGTTTATACGGAAAGTTCGCGTCTTATTTAAGACGCGTCCTATGTAAGACGCGTCTTATTTTTCCTCGTATAAATGGTCCTAATGTCTAACTTGTTATCCGCACCATGATTTACATAACAAAGAGAAAGTGATAAATTTGTAACTAAGCCCCACGCCAAACGTCGAATTTTTCATGAGATGAACTAAACTTGGTTAAGTTCACGAAACGTTTTCGACATCTAGCTCAGTTGAGTTCGTCTGAATGAGTTTTGGATCGTCCAACACGTTCTATCCGTACTCAGCTTCAGACGGATTAAGAACGTCTGAAGATCGTCTCCGGGACAAACGTTGATCTTCACTAGCCACAAACAGGTACGAACTAAACTAATAAACTAGGGTATCTAAAAGATAGTAATGCTGCGGCACATTCTGTTGATACTGGCATTAGTTAGGCAGTGAGACTTAAAAGGATCGAAAATGACATTGAATGTCCTATTTACATGTTGGAAAGTACTAGAATAATTAACATCAGTCTATAGAAAGAACTCGGGGGAACGTTGTTTAGAAAATGATCAAGTGGTTATAACTCTGGTTTTACCACAGTAAATTGTAGGAAATAATAGAAATTCAGATTGTTTATCCATATATTTAATATACAGTGCACAATATTTTCTCTGGAAACACAATACTTTTCTTGCTGTTTGTTGCACTTTATTAAGTAACAGTTATTTAGCTATTTATTTATAGAAAATAACGACACAAAAAAAGGAAAAAAAAAAAAGAAAGAAGGACGGATTAAAGAATTCGGTAAGACTCGAACCCTGCACCTTCCGCTCGACGCGACTACACCTAATCACTACACCACAGAGGCTGATTACGTAATTCTTGGGAAAAGTCTTTCATTTTATTCCTTTTCCATGAAACTCCCGCCGGCAAAATGATCGCCAGCCGCATTAACCGAGCTGTTAACAGTGAAAAAGCAATGTAAACGCATATTCCATGACAATGAATGAATGAAAGAACATAATTATGCTTTTCAAAACGCCGATACACGTCCTCGTCTGCAAAGTAGGACACAAAACATATGTTTTGGTATCTCGATTTCCGCTGTTATTTTGAAGCAAATGGTCAAAATCACATCCATTTTCGGCTCATACAGTTTCTTAAGAATAGCACTGCATGACATTTTCTCACTTTCACATCGCCTTCTAGCAAGCTGGAATTTGTATATCCCCCGTGTTGTGGAGTCGAAGAGCAAATGCTCATCTTCTCGTCAGGTTTAACACCTAGACGAGTCAAAGGCTCTTGAATTGAAATCCAATACCCAAGTTAACCATCGTACTCATCTAAAAGACTCCTGCGTGTCTTAAAATTTGGTAAGACCTCTAACCGTGCTGTAGAAAATTTGCCACAAAGAAAACTCTAAGTCTGAGCAGCGAACGATGCACTCTCTCACCCACCGAACTTCCCCGTGTTTTTATTTGAGTTGTTCGTGGCGCAATGCACTCTGGTTAAATGCAATGCATTGTGGTAAAAAGTGTGGTAAAATGCAATGCATTGTGGTAAAAAGTGATGAATTCGAGAATTCGTCGCCCCTTATATATTTCCTTTAAATCCTGATTATGTTGCTGCTCGCTCCCTTCGGTCGCTCCGCAGCAATTAAAACTGAATTTGTTTAAAGATGTTTAGTTAGGGCTGGTTCTGGGGAAAATTTATTATGATTGCTTTTTTGGTCTGATTCAATTGATTGGTTTGACGCATCCTAAGTTCGACGTTTAACCCAACGGATGATCTTAACTTTATAGATCGACCCAAATTAGCGTTTGTTTTAACTCCTGTTTGAAAGAACGATTCATTGCAAGTAGTTCCGCCCGAAAGGGATACTTTTTTCAGGCTCAGGTATACGAAAGGGTAGAGATTTCGTTTGTTAAAGTATATGAAGGAGTGGGGAAATTAATCGTGTCATTTTGGTCTGTAAAAGAACCAAAAAGGGCTAACACAGACGAATTTAAGGGATTTGAGAGAAGAGAACCTACTGGCTTAGTGATTTATTCATATTAGAAAACGGTGTATTTACGGCAGTTAAAAGGAAGGCAAAGTTCTAAACTAGGTATGTGAAAGAGTTTCCATTTGTCAATAAAAGGTATAAGAGAGTGGAACCTTTTCTGACAAAAATGGTATGTAAAAGGGTAAAAGGTTAAACGAAGGGGAGGAGCCTTCCCGTATAAAACGTTGTTGAGTATTCGCCCGGGATTCATTGTTAGTACATAAAATGCTTCGTGGCTCATAAAGTTCATGGCGGATACCATTCCACTTATAACTGCCTCTTATAAGCCCCGCAAATATACGTCCCCCCAGTTATAACCCGCCCACATATACGTCCCCCAGCTATATGCCCCGACATATACGTCCCCCCAGTTATAAGGCCCCCCACATATACGTTCCCTCAGTTATAAGCTCCCTACTGATTAGCCCCCCAGTATCAGGTCCATCAATATGTAAACATAAAAATACATCCGCTTATAAGCCCTTCCCTTATATAAGCCCCCCTCTTATAGCTTTTCATTGTTATTTTGAATTCCGATTATTATAACGTTTGAAAACACTGCAAGAGTTTGTTTCGAAGGGTTTTTCTCTACTCCAGTTATATACCCTATCGGATATAAGCCCATCCGTTTACGAGCCCTCGTAAAACCCTAACGAAGATGTATAAGCCCAGGAAATATAAGCGGCAGTTTACCGTATGTATGTTGGCTGATTTTTTTAAAAATGCAGCACCATTTCTCGGCCAGTTTGATGAGTCATGATGTTCAAAATCGTATTAAGTAAACCCTCTACACCCCAACGAAAGCCACTATGCGTGGTTTAGTTTTCACTGGCAAATTAAATGATCAAATTTAATGTGACCCCAGTGGCCTGAGAAATTGTCAACCAAACGCAACTGAGCCATTCTACCAACAAAACCAGATACATTCCAGCTTTTCTCTGTCATAGATTCACGACAATCCCCAGTTTCCCGAAAAAACACATTTCCGTCAACAATAAGCTCAGCACGAATCTCGTTTACGAAACAACTTCCTCCAATAAGGAACCGAAGATAATTTCCATTAATCCAAAAACAGTGAGACGTCATCGTGCCTTGGGGAACATCGCTTTTGATTGCACCAGCCTGATGAGAGGGACTGGGCAGATTCTCGAAGCCGCCAATCCACCAATTCCCTTTGTGGTTGGCATGTCCTCTGCCTCTCTCTAATGAATTATCGAGGTATGTTGGCTGATTGTTGAATGCATTGCCAGTCAATGTCCAGCATGACAATCCCTTTTCGAAATCAAACAGAATACCGCAGTATGCTGAAAATAAGTAAAACGATTACAGCTTGAGGTTCGGGTTAGGGCCTGTTTACATGGACGAGGGGGACCCTGGGTAGGTAAGATAACGTGCTTAGGTGGAGTAATACCTGCCAGTCGATAAAATCCGTCTCCTATTTTAATATGATCAGGTTTACACGACAGGTGGTCTGCCAGACCGGTTAACCCTCTCATCTGGGGTCAAATTTTGCCTTCTAAACGTTTTCAGGTAGCGTAACCTGCCCAGTCGTGTTTGAGAAGACGGCTCATGATTCGTAGACTAGTTGATCATCATCGAAAGTCTCTATTTGTACAATTATGTTTTAGAACGTGTAACCTAGTACGTTAACTACGACCCGGTATTTTACTTAGAGGCCCCTTGCAAACCGACGTAACATTGTTAGCCAACAACGCCCAACATTGTTGTTCCGTCCGTTTGCACACCGGCCTGTTGCATGTTGTTGTTTGTTGTTGGGAGTTGTTACGCAAAATTTGAACCTTGCCAAACTTTTTGAGCCAACAACTCCCAACATTTCTTGTGTTCCGTGATCGCCGAGGCGTGCGCAATAATGTTGGATCCGTTTGCACAGCTCTCCCAACATTGTTGGTGCCACGTACGTGCATTACACATGCTCTCTAAAGTCTTATGGCTTTCATCCCTCCCAGGATGCACTGTAGCTCCCAACATTGTTGGGAATTGTTGCATCCGTTTGCATACCACTGCCAACACAAACGCAGCAACTCCCAACAAAGCTGGGAGTTGTTCCATCCGTTTGCGTGTAGCTTTACTAATACCAATACTCGAAATTCCCAACTGTTGAGACAATTCACGAATTCCTTGAATCAGGAAAACGTTTGTACAAAATATCTCATACCGCAGGCCTTGGAGTATTCAGCCCGGTATATTTCTGGAAAATACCCACAGTCCAAAGATTAATATTAAGGTGTCAGTTAAGGTCAGGGAGAGCGTTAAAATTCATTTCAAGTAAATATTCTCCTTGCTACCTGTGCAGTTCACTCCATCTCCAACAAAGCCGCCACAACAAGTGCAATTGAATGAGCCTACGGTGTTGCTGCACCAGGCATTTTCTGGACAGTTATGGGTTCCAGCGGTGCACTCGTCTATATCTAAAAAGAAGGCGTAGATATAACATGTATCGTTATGAAAACATATATCCAAGAGGAACCTAAGTCAAGTCACGTGAAGTGTTGGCCATTGTCCCCTTTAAAATGCCATTTGACTTAAGATCGTATTTATTGTTTCTGGGTTCGATCAGATCTTTAATGCTCTTTGGTGCATGTGTTGTTAATGACATTGAAGACTATACAGACTATTTTTGCGAGGTGTTGATTCACAAGTGACGCTAAACCTTTTCTATTTAGTAGTTCAGACTAGGGCGTTTGCTTTTCATTTCATTTTTTAAACTTCTCATATCATATTGCTGCTTAGCCTCCCCGCAGACGTCCTTTGGGGTTCGTTTGTCACCCGTGGGGGAGAAATGAATGCGTGACAAACGAACACCAAAGGACGTCTGCGGGGAGGCTAATTGTAACTCTGTTTATGTTACATTTGATGCAAGGTGTTCAATATAATTGTCTGAACTAACAGCAGCAGCACCCTTTTACCTTTTAGGTACATCAGTTAGTAAAATAGTGAAAAGCCAATGCAAACGCCTGTTTGAAAGCCGAATGGTTCGCTGCTGTATACCTTCTATTGTTTTTGTATCTTCAGTTCATTTGAGCAAAACGTCAAATTAAATTGTTTCCAACATGATGTGGTTTGTCCTCGTTTGTGTAAATGAACAGGTCCCGTTGATAAAGATTTATCTTCCGCGCTCAATTATGAAATGAGATAACCAGGAAGCGTAGAGCTTGAAGGACGATTCAGTATTTTAAAAACATATAACGAAAATGAAACAAGACTTCCTTTTTAAGCGATTTATTCTTATTAAGGAACTATGTTAAAGGGGTATTATTATTTAACGGTACCTATTCCGTCAAAAATGGTATATAAACGGGTACGGAAATATTATTATTATTTTTTTGGAAATGCTGATGGAAAATACGTTGTAGTCAAGTATGTCCATCTTCCAAGAAAACAGTAGTTTTACTGTAATACAAACGCTTTTCGAATTCGCACTCAAGCTATTACCCATACGAATTATAAGACGTTATGATGATAGGAAACCCACGTCGTAACACATAACACTTCAGATACTGGTTGGGTGGTATACTAATATCCCAAAAACGGAGAGACCCTTGTATCTATGTCAGTAAGTACATTTTCTTGTTATGATTTTGCAGGGTTTTTTTCTAGAAATCTTTGAAATAACAAAGCAAATTTATGCTAACCTTTTTCGCAAAGCTCTCCCTCAAAACCAGCTGGACATAAACATCGAAATGTTTTGGCAGTGAATCCATGCTGACACTTGCCATTATTTAAACAGGGGCGTGAGCTACAGCTGTTCTAAAGTCAAGCAAAGTATTGAATACAAGTCAGTGCACTGAGCAAGGACAGGGAGGATCCTGAAATGGTCCCATCTACCCTGCTAGCAAACCCTCCATTTATGGGGGAGAAGCAAGCCGCGACAGAACGCACTCGCGTCTCGTTTCGCGGGCTTCTCTCGCGTGATTTCTCGCGACTCCGCCAAATGACTTGGGTGAAGAGCTCTACAAGACATCACTTATCTGGGAGCTCTGACGGGACAAATTTTTGGCACGAGAATATGAGATTAAACTGAAATATTTTGTAAGGATGAACTTTACATTGTCAGACCAACTGCACTGGGGCATTTAAATCCTATTATTCTTTTCTGTTAGTGTTAGAGGGAGGGGTGATTGGAAATGAGAAGCCATCCTTTCAACCTCGTCCCCTGGCCTTATCCCATTATCTGAGGGAAAAGCCCTGGGGACGAGGTTGTCATCTTTATGTAGTGTGGAGAGGGTCCCTAAAAACAACACAAGCTTCCCCTGGGGTGGTGGATCCAAATACTACAGATCACGTGGTATCCTGAACAAATAACAAAACGGCAAATTATTAAGCGTCTTGAATTTGAATAAGGCCCGTTCTAGCTTGGGGCCCTGACAAAAAGCCCAATCTTCCATGTAAAAAAGGATAATGAGAGGAAAAATACATAGATTTGCAGAAAATATCGATGTTGTAATACTGTCTTTGTGGCGGTGCGTTCGCCGCCGCAAGTAAAACTCAATAGTTTAAATTTCATGCATAAAAATATTTCCAGCCGAATGATTTGTGTAAATGTTAAGCACCCGAGGTTTCGTTAAATCGAGGTCCTTTTACGACTTCGTTATATAGAGGTTCGCTGTGAAGCAACTAAGTTCGAAAAGGATTTATTTTATAATTGTGGACAAAACACCAGAGCAGCTATGACAGTGAATGCACTTCATTAAGTTATTTAGTATCTGCCAGCGGTGAAAAAGACGAGTTACGTCTATGGTTGATACCGTTTAGAACAGTTCTCAGTAGAAACACGCTTACCAGACACCCAATCCTTGTTTTTAAGTCCAAATAGACAACCTTAACTGTTGTTTTTGGGAGTGCCTCATATCTGTAAACAGGTTAAAAAGGTTTACTTACTGAGGAGAGGTTCTTGTTAAGGTATTTGCACCGGCAAATTTTGTACAATTTTGCATCGTTTTATAGTCATTTTAGCAGTTATATCTCGTTTATATGGGTACATTGACAGTATTCTTCGGCTACTGAGGAACTAAAATATATAGAAATAAACTATACTAAGTCACTGCAGACACCTTAAAGTGGAAATACACCAAAACACTCTGACAGAGTGGTTTTTCAGCTATACATTTTTAATGTCACATTCGCCAAATTCTTTAACAAAAGACCCAGTATAGCCTTAAATGTTTTTTTATTGTCCATTACCCAAACGACAGAGTCTTCAGTGATGGTTATACGATCGCTGTAAAATGATCTTGGAAAAGGATAGGTTTTAATCAAACAAACAGGTGGAACAAGGTGGGCGTTGACAAAATGTCTAACTTACTATCTGCACCATGATTTACATCACAAAGAGAAAGTGATAAATTTGTAACTAAGCCCCACTAAGCCAAACGTCGAATTTTTCATGAGACGAACTAAACTTGGTTAAGTTCACGAAACGTTTTCGAGCTCAGTTAAGTTCGTCTGAATGAGTTATGGATCGTCCAACACGTTCTATCCGTCTGCTTCAAACGGATAGAACGTCTTAAGATCGTCTCCGGGACAAACGTTGATCTTCAGTAGCCACGAACAGCTAAGAACTAAACTAATAAATTAAAACTGAATTTGTTTGATGATATTTAGTTAGGGCTGGTTCTGGAGAAAACTTATTATACTTGCTTTTTGGTCTGATTCAACTGATGGGTTTGACGCATCCTAAGTTCGACGTCTGACCCAATGGATGATCTCAACTTTATAGATCGACCCAAATTAGCGTTTGGTTCGTCTCATGGGTTTTAACTCCTTTTTAAAAGCACGACTCATTGCAAGTAGTTCCGCCCGAAAGGGATACTTTTTTCTGGTTCAGGTATACGGAAGGGTAGAGATTTCGTTTGTTAAAGTATATGAAGGGGTGAGGAAATTAATCGTGTCATTTTGGTCTGTAAAAGAACCAAAAAGGGCTAACACAGACGAATTTAAGGGATTTGAGAGAAGAGAACCTTGTGGCTTAGTGATTTATTCATATTAAAAAACGGTGTATTTACGGCAGTTAAAAGGAATGCAAAGTCCTAAACTAGGTATGTGAAAGGGTTTCCATTTGTCAATAATAGGTATAAGGGAGGGGAACCTTTTCTGACAAAAATGGTATGTAAAAGGTTAAACGAAGGGGAGGAGCCTTCCCGTATAAAACGTTGTTGAGTATCCCCCCGGGATTCATTGTTAGTACATAAAATGCTTCGTGGCTCATAAAGTTCGTGGCGGATACCATTCCACTTATAACTGCCTCTTATAAGCCCCGCAAATATACGTCCCCCAGTTATAAGCCGCCCACATATACGTCCCCCCAGTTATAAGGCCCCCCCACATATACGTCCCCCAGTTATAAGCCCCCGACATATACGTCTCCCCAGTTATAAGCTCCCTACTGATTAGCCCCCCAGTATCAGGCCCATCAATCTGTAAACATAAAAATACATCCGCTTATAAGCCCCCCTTTTATAGCTTTTCTTATTCTGAATTCCGATTATTATAACGTTTGAAAGCATTGCAAGAGTTTGTTTCGAAGGGTTTTTCTCTACTCCAGTTATATACCCCATCGGATATAAGCCCTCGTAAAACCCTTACGAAGATGTATAAGCCCAGAGAATATAAGCGGCAGTTTACCGTATGTATGTTGGCTGATTTTTTTAAAAATGCAGCACCATTTATCGGCCAGTTTGATGAGTCATGATGTTCAAAATCGTATTAAGTAAACCCTCTACACCCCAAAAAAGCCACTATGCGTGGTTTAGTTTTCACTGGCAAATTAAATGATCAAAATTAATGTGACCCCAGTGGCCTGAGGAATGGTCAACCAAACGCAACTGAGCCATTCTACCAACAAAACCAGATACATTCCAGCTTTTCTCTGTCATCGATTCACTACAATCCCCAGTTTCCCGAAAAACCACATTTCCGTCAACAATAAGCTCAGCACGAATCTCGTTTACGAAACAAATTCCTCCAATAAGGAACCGAAGAGAATTTCCATTAATCCAAAAACAGTGAGACGTCATCGTGCCTTGGGGAACATCGCTTTTGATTGCACCAGCCTGATCAGAGGGACTGGGCCGATTCTCGAAGCCGCCAATCCACCAATTCCCTTTGTGGTTGGCAGGTCCTCTGCCTCTCTCTAATGAATTATCGCCGTATGTTGGCTGATTGTTGAATGCATTGCCAGTCAATGTCCAGCATGACAATCTGTTTTCGAAATCAAACAGAATACCGCAGTATGCTGAAAATAAGTAAAACGATTACAGCTTGAGGTTCGGGTTAGGGCCTGTTTACATGGACGAGGGGGACCCTGGGTAGGTAAGATAACCCGCTTAGGTGGATTAATACCTGCCGGTCGATAAAATCCGTCTCTCATTTTAATATGATCAGGTTTACACGACAGGTGGTCTGCCAGACCGGTTAACCCTCTCAGCTGGGGTCAAATTTTGCCTTCCAAACGTTTTCAGGTAGCGTAACCTGCCCAGTCGTGTTTGAGAAGACGGCTCATGATTCGTAGACTAGTTGATCATCATCGAAAGTCTCTATTTGTACAAGTATGTTTTAGAACGTGTAACCTAGTACGTTAACCAAGTACCCGGTATTTTACTTAAAGGCCCCGTGCAAACCGACGTAACATTGTTAGCCAACAACGCCCAACATTGTTGTTCCGTCCGTTTGCAAACCGGCCTGTTGCATGTTGTTGTTTGTTATTGGGAGTTGTTACGCAAAATTTGAACCTTGTCAAACTTTTTGAGCCAACAACTCCCGACATTTCTTGTGTTCCGTGATCGCGCAATAATGTTGGATCCGTTTGCACAGCTCTCCCAACATTGTTGGTGCCACGTACGTGCATTACACATGCTCTCTAAAGTCTTATGGCTTTTATCCCTCCCACGATGCACTGTAGCTCCCAACATTGTTGGGAATTGTTGCATCCGTTTGCATACCACTGCCAACACGAACGCAACAACTCCAAACAAAGCTGGGAGTTGTTCTATCCGTATGCGTGTAGCTTTACTAAAACCAATACTCGAAATTCCCAACTGCTGAGACAATTCACGAATTCCTTGAATCAGGAAAACGTTTGTACAAAATATCTCATACCGCAGTCCTTGGAGTATTCAGCCCGGTATATTTCTGGAAAATACCCACAGTCCAAAGATTAATATTAAGGTGTCAGTTAAGGTCAGGGAGAGCGTTAAAATTCAAGTAAATCTTCTCCTTACTACCTGTGCAGTTCATTCCATCTCCAACAAAGCCGCCACAACAAGTGCAATTGAATAAACCTGCGGTGTTGCTGCACCAGGCATTTTCTGAACAGTTATGGGTTCCAGCGGTGCACTCGTCTATATCTAAAAAGAAGGCGTAGATATAACATGTACCGTTATGAAAACATATATCCAAGAGGAACCTAAGTCAAGTCACGTGAAGTGTTGGCCATTGTCCCCTTTAAAATGTCATTTGACTTAAGATCGTATTTATTGTTTCTGGGTTCGATCAGATCTTTAATGCTCTTTGGTGCATGTGTTGTTAATGACATTGAAGACTATACAGACTATTTTTGCGAGGTGTTGATTCACAAGTGACGATAAACCTTTTCTATTTAGTAGTTCAGACTAGGGCGTTTGCTTTTCATTTCATTTTTTAAACTTCTCATATCATATTGTTGCTTAGCCTCCCCGCAGACGTCCTTTGGGGTTCGTTTGTCACCCGTGGGGGAGAAATGAATGCGTGACAAACGAACACCAAAGGACGTCTGCAGGGAGGCTAATTGTAACTCTGTTTATGTTACATTTGATGCAAGGTGTTCAATATAATTGTCTGAACTAACAGCAGCAGCACCCTTTTACCTTTTAGGTACATCAGTTAGTAAAATAGTGAAAAGCCAATGCAAACGCCTGTTTGAAAGCCGAATGGTTCGCTGCTGTATACCTTCTATTGTTTTTGTATCTTCAGTTCATTTGAGCAAAACGTCAAATTAAATTGTTTCCAACATGATGTGGTTTGTCCTCGTTTGTGTAAATGAACAGGTCCCGTTGATAAAGATTTATCTTCCGCGCTCAATTATGAAATGAGATAACCAGGAAGCGTAGAGCTTGAAGGACGATTCAGTATTTTAAAAACATATAACGAAAATGACAACAAGACTTCCTTTTTAAGCGATTTATTCTTATTAAGGAACTATGTTAAAGGGGTATTATTATTTAACGGTACCTATTCCGTCAAAAATGGTATATAAACGGGTACGGAAATATTATTATTATTTTTTTGGAAATGCTGATGGAAAATACGTTGTAGTCAAGTATGTCCATCTTCCAAAAAAACAGTAGTTTTACTGTAATACAAACGCTTTTCGAATTCGCACTCAAGCTATTACCCATACGAATTATAAGACGTTATGATGATAGGAAACCCACGTCGTAACACATAACACTTCAGATACTGGTTGGGTGGTATACTAATATCCCCAAAACGGAGAGACCCTTGTATCTATGTCAGTTAGTACATTTTCTTGTTATGATTTTGCAGGGTTTTTTCCTAGAAATCTTTGAAATAATAAAACAAATTTATGCTAACCTTTTTCGCAAAGCTCTCCCTCAAAACCAGCTGGACATAAACATCGAAATGTTTTGCCAGTGAATCCATGCTGACACTTGCTATTATTTAAACAGGGGCGTGAGCTACAGCTGTTCTAAAGTCAAGCAAAGTATTGAATACAAGGTCAGTGCACTGAACAAGGACAGGGAGGATCCTGACATGGTCCCATCTACCCTGCTAGCAAACCCTCCATTTATGGGAGAGAAGCGAGCCGCGAGAGAACGTACTCGCGTCTCGTTCCGCGGGCTTCTCTCGCGTGATTTCTCGCGACTCCCCCAAATGGCTTGGATGAAGAGCTCTACAAGACATCACTTATCTGGGAGCTCTGACGGGACAAATTTTTGGCACGAGAATCTGAGATTAAACTGAAATATTTTGTCAGACCAACTGCACTGGGGCATTTAAACCCTATTATTCTTTTCTGTTAGTGTTAAAGGAAGGGGCGATGGCAAATGAGAAGCATCTTTACTACAGATCACGTGGTATCCTGAACAAATAACAAAACGGCAATTAATAAGCGTCTTGAATTTGAATAAGGCCCGTTCTAGCTTGGGGCCCTGACAAAAAGCCCAATCTTCCATGTAAAAAAGGATAATGAGAGGAAAAATACATAGATTTGCAGAAAATATCGATGTTGTAATACTGCGTATGCCCAGGGGGGGTACCCAGGATTTCAATTGACGGGGATGATCGAAGGATATTTTTGGGTTTGAAATTTTCGATTCCGGGATTTTTTTGGGTACGAAAATTTGGCAAGTATTTTTTTGGGTGGCTGGATTTGAGTAGGGATTTTTTGGGGGTATTAAAAAGAATATGTAGTGCCCCGGCTGCGTAGTTATAGCATTACCTCTTTCTGGAACTTTTAAGGACCACAAAATTGGCATGGGATTTTTTGGGGGTTAATTTTTGGTCCAGGGATTTTTTTGGGTTTTGCTGGAAGCGCTAGGGATTTTTTTGGGTCTTGACTTTTGGCTCCATTCGATCATCCCCGTCACTTGAAATCGCGAGTACCCCCCCCCTGGGTGCGTATGTAGTTTCGTCGTTCGCTTCATCCTCCTTCGATAAGCAGAACAGTGCAATAAACAATTTAACTATAGAACACTGTGAAAACCTTTGTGCGTTCTTTTCGAGCTTATATGGTGAATAACGTAAGAGAGCAATAATAAAAGTAGGCACAAATAATAAAAAGGAGTTGAAGTAGTTAATAAAAGCGAACAATGCCCTGACAAATACATTGGTGAGATCACCAGATCCCTTCGTACTCGGGGCAAAGAAAAACTAATCAATTGTCGAGCGCTGACGGGCAACGGGGTCATAACATCAACCAGAAACTCATAAGAGTTTCTGCATCAACCCATACAATACTGAAGTTTAAAATGACAAAAATCACCCAATCAATTGCATCAAGCGCCGTGCTAAGAGGCCATTGCCATAAAACCATCAAACAAAGAAAACCCTCTCTTATTAGGGACGAGGGAGACTGGACCTATCGTCCATTTACATCATCTCTTGGGGATTCATTCATAACAACTTTTCTGTAACATCTCTGATGAAGTTGAGGGATTAGAACAAAATATTCGAATTTTTTCAAACGTCTTTTGCTCTGAGTTTGAAAATTTTTGTTTCTGGTAAGTTACTGCATCGGGTGAGAAATAGGAAGAAAAATCAATGTACTACATATGCGACAGCTGAAAGTTTTTAACACTAACCTGGGTATCATGATATGTGTACTTTTCCCTTCTTTGTAAAAATGCTTGATCCGTAGAATTGTTTAACTCGCAAATATAAAGATCACCAGTCTCACTTATCCCCAGGTTAAAAGATACGCAATCGTGGACAAAATATCACCACTTGTCACCAGCAGAGAGGAGATTACGTGATCAACAAGAGCTTGACCCTGAATGAGGCCGAAACATTTTATGTTTCTGCAGTTATCTTGTTTGAAAAGAGATCAGAAAGAAATAAGTGGTTAAAAATAAAACACAAACAGCGGTGATAAGCATTATGAGTTTCGCATTTTTTATAAACTTGACGTTTCGTACGCTATTCAACATACATTTTCAAAAGTGATCTTAAGTGACCGTTGAAGAAAATGACGAGACCATATATTCAAAAATTACAAGTTGTCTGGAAATGAGGTTAAGAATTTTAAAAATTCTTAACAGTAATTAATACAAAAGACAACAGCTAACAAAGCATCAGCTTTTCATTGCTGATGTTGACATTAAAAGCTGGCTTAAGGTCTTGAAGAGACTTCAAGTGTTCCGTCTTCCTAAGACTGAACACTTCAAGTCCCTAACAAAAAATGATCACCCTTCAGCTGACCATATCACTGCCACCGGACATAACATTAAATGGGATCACTTTGACATCTTAGCATCTGGCAAAACAGATTATCATTGTAAGATAAAAGAAACATTGTTTAAGAGAAGGGGCGTCTATGATTCACCGTTGTTAATCGTGTATGGAGGCCACGTGATTTTTCCCGGAGTGTGTGGAAAATAATTTGATTGGCTGTTACTCGTAGACCACTACATCATGTAAATAAGGTATTTTAATTGGTTTTAAGGCCTGTCGTCAATACATAGCAGGCAATCTGAAAATCGTCACATTGACAACTTTTCGCATTTTTCCTGAGGGGAGGGGGATCTGTACACAGACTACTCCCACTCAGTATCCACCTCAAACACTCACTACCCCACTCCACCCCATCCCCCACCCCCGTCCCTTTCCACCTGTAACAGCCTATCGATAAAATTCTGATGGTTCCCCATGATAATTTTTTCAGTTTTCGCTAAGCGACGTGGACCCTTATGATTTCTACCGCTAACCTGACAATGGCCAGCTCGAAATCTGTCGCTTCTTTGGCCACTGTGCACGTACCTTCGCCGCTCGTGACTTCCGCCTTCAGCCGCGAAGATGTGTCGGCCTTCCACCGTACGCAAAAAGAACCTCTGTTACCCAGGGTAAACAAGCACTTGTGTAATAATATATTTTCAAATAATTGTTAGTACTTAGTAACACCCCGTAAACAGAGTAAAAAATAAAGTTGAGGTTGATAATTCACACTAAGGCTTTCTACTGCAAGTAACTGCTGTACACAGCGGTGAATGATTCTGAATTTTGGATGGTGGATTGCGGACTGTGGATTACCGTGGATACTATATCGCATCATTCCTGTTTTGAATACAAAATGAGATGTAAAAGCCTTTTTGTTTCCGCTTTTCATCAAACCGGCTACTTAAAGTGGAAATTGAACTTCGTGTCGTGCAGTTTTGGTCTGAAATCATGCTTGAAATCACGCGTATGATTTCAGGTCAAACTGCACTCCACTCAGTTCAATAACCATTATAAATCTCACAAGTCGCCATCAGTTAACGATTTTTTTTGTTTTGTCTTTCTTCATAGTTAAGCATAGTAGTGAGGTAGATTTGTTTCTACAATTTCGGAAACCAAGTAGGTTCTTGGCTCTCTCCAAATACGTTGACTTCGTCGACGAAAATTGACTTGGTAAAATGACCTAATCCAAAGAACTCTGATTTCGCAAAATGTTTCAAATGAAAGAACGTACCTCCATGGGAAACGNCTTTCTACTGCAAGTAACTGCTGTGCACTGCGGTGAATGATTCTGAATTTTGGATGGTGGATTGCGGACTGTGGATTACCGTGGATACTATATCGCATCATTCCTGTTTTGAATACAAAATGAGATGTAAAAGCCTTTTTGTTTCCGCTTTTCATCAAACCGGCTACTTAAAGTGGAAATTGAACTTCGTGTCGTGCAGTTTTGGTCTGAAATCATACTTGAAATCACGCGTATGATTTCAGGTCAAACTGCACTCCACTCAGTTCAACAACCATTATAAATCTCACAAGTTGCCATCAGTTAACGATTTTTTTTGTTTTGTCTTTCTTCATAGTTAAGCATAGTAGTGAGGTAGATTTGTTTCTACAATTTCGGAAACCAAGTAGGTTCTTGGCTCTCTCCAAATACGCTGACTTTGTCGACGAAAATTGACTTGGTAAAATGACCTAATCCAAAGAACTCTGATTTCGCAAAATGTTTCAAATGAAAGAACGTACCTCCATGGGAAACGTCTTACCATCTATAATAAATGCGATAACATCAGCGAAAATAATTCAAACACAGTCATGGTAAATAATTCAAACACAGTCTAAATCTGAATGCCATGAATCAAGCTAAATATTGCACTGTTGGAGGTCAACTTCCCTTCATTTAAAATTCACAGGACGTGACAGTCAAGACTAAACACTCTCCACCATGGAGTCGCATTTGACTTGTTTCAAATAAGTCCAGCTGAGTCTCCAGCTGGTGGTGATACTCAAAGTAAAAAACAAGACCTGGGATATCTAGCTGTTAGCAGTTGCAGCTTCTAACATTTTAAACTCAGTGCTGGTTAATTAACTAAGCGTCTTACGTCCCTTACTTAATGTCAAGCGACTTTTTAGGCACTCAGATATGTTAATTTTTTTTTAAAAAAAAAGTTTACTATAAATGGAAAAAAAACTGACTAAGAAACAAAACATTACGTGAACTCTCTTTAGTAAATAACAGACCGGTTACTTAAACGTTTAAGAATAGAGCTTGTATTCTAGTAAGTTAGAGTGCTGAACTCACTACGAAAAAGAATATACCAAAACAAGGAACAGAGTGGAGAAATAATAGGGTTGTATTTATTTCGACAACTGCAGCACGGCTGAATTTTATCAACTAAACCGCAATTCTGTTTAATGCGCAAAATATCCCTCCGCTGTTAAAGTTCTGCAAAATTTGGCTAACTGTTAGCGTTCCAAGAGCATCAGAAAAAAAGGTTCTTAAACATAACCTCATTACAAGAATGACTTCTGACAAACGTGGCCATGCTTTTATACAAGATCATGACGTAATAAATCTTGTAGTAGAATTTCATATTCCGTGTCAATTATTTCGGTCTACCTAACTTCAAAGGCTCTCACTCAGTGTATTTGTTACTTGAGTAAAAGTAATCTATTCTGTCACTGTGGCTGTGTACACTATCAATTATACGGGAAATTTTATCATGCAGAGAAGAAAACAAGATGTTATAGGTAGCCTGCGATCATAGTCCTTTGTTGGTGTGGGGAAAATGTTTCAGTCGAAGTAAATTTTTAATTGAAGAAAAGATTAATTTCCATACGTGAAAAATCATCGCTGTTATGCACGCAACTTAGTTGCGAAAAACAAAGCCTTAAAAAAATTGACAACGGTCCCGAATTGTCTTTAGCGCTGCTTTTTATGCAGAAATACGTATGTTATCAAATTAGAACATAGGATGGCTGTTTTCCCCTAGCGACCGACAGGGTCGGGGTCTGAGTCGTAATTGTCAGAAGCGTAGGACTTTACCATCTGGTGAAAACAGCGTTCTGATTCCGCCTACGACTCCGTCGTTTACGATCAAGTGAAAACTGGGTCGTCGTGGTGGCACTGAAGCAGAAGCAGACGAACCAAACCAATCACAAAGGGTGGGAACGTGAATTGTGATTGGTTTATACTTCTCCTTTTGCTTCCGACTCCGACAATCTGGTTTTCACTGGATCAAAAACTGAAAAACGGAGTCATAAGCAGAGTCAGAAGAAAATGGAAACGTTCTGACTCATCTGACTCCAATTCGGTCGCGCTTACTGAATCCGATTTTTGATTTTCACTATGTCATAAGCGCTTTTACGACCCCGACTCCGACTCCATCGCAAGTGAAAACCAGTCTTTAGGATCCCCAGCGTGCTGGCCACCGTCTGTATCCTTTTCTCATAAACTAAATGATTGTTCTGCGCGCCTTGCAGTTCCGTGCAGCCATATCTGCCTTAGGGCAATACCCAGCGTTATGAGAATACATGTAAATTTACCAATAGTATAAAGAGGTAATTTAATGTAAATGTAAAAAAAGTACAAGGCGCATATAACGAAGGTTAAGAGAGAATCGCAAAAGCAGCCTATAACTCCCTTGTTCATACACCTGCTGCGCATAGCACTGCAATTTCAAGGCTTGAAATAATTTTCACCAGTCGCCTAAAGAGAGGTAAAAAGGGCCATTTTGTGGTCCAAAATGCTTTTAATAGCGATTTTGATAATTCTACCCGGCTAAAAAGGTGTTTGTCTTGGAACTCGCACCAGTCCCTTCGCGCAAAATGATTACTTGAAGCCGAACTTGTCCCTTTGTAGTCTTTTTGCGATGAAACGAGAACGGTGACCCCTTTTTATTTGCGTTTTTCACTCGTTATGGCTAAACAACAAATACATCTTAAAGAGAAAACAATCTGGATAGTAGAAGATGTAAATTTTTAGATATGAATGACGTCGAAAGCCGCCTTTGGAGTGACAGAAGAGTATAAGATAATGTTAAAACTGTCCACTTCTCTCCACTTTTTAAGATCAGGTAATTTGAAGTCATTTTACTGAGAAATTGTAGCCCAAACAAACAAACGGGTTTTAGGTTTTAGTAAGATTCATAGTTTTTGCTGGATGATAAGAATTTTTGGTGGTTGTTCAAGTTTCGAACAATTCGCACGCAACTAGAAAAACACACAGAATTACAGGCACACAGGGCAAAAACAAGCTTGGTGACTCCACCTTTAACAGGCTACTTTTTAAACAGCATTTAATTTCACAGCGCCGGATGCTGTATCTAAGGAGTCTTACATCGTTGTTTCATCTTTTAGATTTTAGTTACAAAAAGATGAAAGACTGTTGTTAAATTTACAGGTGGACTGATCATGTCTGTGATATAACGCTCACCCGAACTATCAGAAATAAAACCATCACCTACTATTTTTAAATGACAAAGTAAAGATGTGTAGGACAAAATATCGTGAAGAGATAACAATCACAAATTTTGTCGCTACGCTTTTCAAAACAGAATATTTCAACTGAAACCTTAAATTGTGAGCTTTATCACTATTAAAGTTCCTTTCCGAAGTCAAGTCGCAATTTCGAACACTTGATCAAGCCGCAATTTCAAACACTTTTTAAGTCCTTATTTCGAACACTTGATCTCTCTATATATATCCAACTGATGACAGATCTATGGAAAGCATTCTATGCATCACCTGCAATACACTTTTTTCGACATATCCTCAGTCGAACCTATTTACAATGCCAATTATTACATACGTACTAGTTTATGTACTAAGTGATTTCTCTTAACATGTACTTTCATTTGTAGATTTTGATATTCATATTCTATACGTTTTTAGGAGAGTGACCCTAATACGTGTTTTGTAACTGCTATCAAATTTGACACTTAAATAAACTTTCTTATCTTAATATTATCTTATTATCTATTTTTTGTTTGAATCTACCATTTGCAAACTTCCTTTCTTTTATAATAGTCCACAGGTTTAGAGCTAACACTCGGAAAAGACAAAAGACACTCACAAATTAAGTGTGGGTAACCTACAAACAGCCCAGCAACGAGCGGCTTAATGAAAAAGGAGCTTTCATCTCGGTATCTTACTTTACCCGCTAATTCTTTGTGATAACTGTTCTACAGTCCTTCAATTGTGTTAAGTCTGCAAGCCTTTACCCTGATTTTTCCGGGCAACAGGTAGCACTACGTCTGCAGTACGAGCTTGCACGACTGGCCGCTATATCTTTTCACAGCTGAAAGTCAAAGCAAGTGTATTCAAGATCTGCAAGAATCCTCTGAGGATACGGAAAGACAGCCATGAGTTTAAAGCCATACTTTTTGTAAAGTCGAATTGCAGGTGTTTGTGCACTGGTTGTTGTCAAGACGATTTTCTTAAAGCCTTGTCTCTTGGCGTGTTGGAGCAGTTCATCGAGCAGTTTCCTGGCAATTCCCATTCGTCTACAGACAGGCGATACAGACATTCTCTGCAGTTCAGCGACTCCTGGATTGTGGCTCTCATTATGAACGAGTCCCACCATTCCAACAACATTTCCACCCCACTCTGCCACCCACATGTGACACTCATCAGTAGCCATGTAAGTCTTGTCAATGTCCTTCAAGTCCGAAGCCAGACAGCAATTGATGAATTTCCAGCACTCAAAGTAGATGTCGACATACAATAAAGCAAGAATAGCCACGCAAACAAATATGTAAACAGCGAATATCCACAAGTTCCATTTAATGGCTGCAAGGATAGCGAACACGGACAAAGCGGCAAGAATCCAGCAGTATCTTGGAAAGACTACCCGCGCAACGAGGCTGATCAGCTGTTCCATTCCTTGGGTAAAAAGTGTTTGGCAGTCTCGTTGATCCAAGGTTTGGTAAGAGCGTATTTTTACTTCGTGATCATCGTTTGAATTTGAAGAACAACGAGTGTCAAGGACATATTCCTTGGGCGACGACATCACTTAAACACTCTCTAGAAATACATAACGACTGACGATTAATTCGTAAAAAGCCTATATCACAGAACAAAGTGTAGCCTTGTCTGATTACATGTACGTACGACCTGTACAAATGATTTATTTTTCTGATGACTATTAAAAAAAAGTTCGCTACAGCAACAGTATTTTCAGTTAGCAGTAAATGGTGACGAAGCCTGTAGACAGGCAAATGACGCTTTTTGTATAAGAATAATTGAACAAATCTCACAGCCAGTGCTCCAACACTCACGCAATAAACTCACAGTATCTGTATAAAGTCGCAAAATAGCTACTATTAAACTATGTATCTCAGACACACTCGGTGCGGTTTTCGTAAAAACACTCAGCTTCTCGCATCTAGCTCAAGTATAGCCACTAGCTGAAGATGGAGTTTTAGTAAAACTGCTCTTGAATTTCACTGTTCAAATTGATTCACCTGGCAGAGAGAATTGAATTTGTTATTTATATTTAGCCGCAAATGTGGGTGATTATAAAGATAGCAATCCAAAGATCTTATTTTAGTATGAGATTGTTTTCGTTTCGGGCTATTTTTGTTATTCACTAATTTCATCTACTTTTACAGACTTGGTATGATTCATTGTCCCTGTTGTGGATAACCAACATGTTCGCTTTATAAATCGCAACTAGTTATTAGCGTTTTACTTTGTCAACGCGTAGACGGAAATATTTGGAGTAAGTTTTAGTAAGGCAATCTTTAAATACAAGGACTCATTCCTTTATCTTCACTCTTCACTCTCTTCACTCTCTGACAAAGACAAGTCATTTCTAAGATAAACACGCACCTTTCATTCCAAAGCAATACGCAGCACGATATGCTCTCTGAGCTGGTATATATATTGTCCCTCTAAAACAAAAAGGAAATTCAACTCAACATGCACGCTATCCGTCTGATGCAGAAAATCCAAAAACAACTCTGAAGTGAAAAGTTTCCAAAACACATGGAATCATACTTACGAGATTACTTTTATAGACTTGAATCCCGCTTTCTTGTGATGCAAACTCGGAATGAACACAATTTGAGCTGAAGAAGCGCAGAGTTTCAAAGCTAAACTGAGAGTTTGATGTTTGACTTTGACCCATAGCACAAGGGATACGTGATCATAAAACCAGAATTGTTTACTCTGTTTACACTTCTACGTGATGGTATTGAAAACAATCCCGCTATATGATTGGCTGTTAGACTCAGCATGACAAAAAGCGACGCGGCCATGGCGTCTTTCCACCAATAAGAACACGGCAACGCCTGGGAGACGTGATGTGCTTTCACGCTGTACGTGGAATAGAACGGCGAATTGTTTCAGAGGGATACGCAGCTAACTACGAGGTCTGCATTTGGCTTGCTCAATAAGTGAAAGTTAGCTGACTTAGGATATATTCTAGGTTTTGTTTATAAACTAAAACAATATTTTCTGACAAAAGCGACACTTGAGAGATGCGTGAACAACGTCTGGCTTGATCCATGGTTTAAATCTTAAATCCTCCTCTCAGACTGACTGACAGACGACCTGCACGAATCACGTTCGTTGCCGCGAACCAAGCTCCACAAGTTTCTCCACAAAGTGTACGCTAATATGATTTACGAATGCCGTAAAAAAAATTCCACCTTTTCGTCTGTCTCGTATAATATCCTACGCGCTAGGGCTAATTACAGGTCCGGCTGGTCTGAAATACACAAATAATCGTGACAAACAAAGGCGGGAGAATTACATAACCCGTGTACAACATAAAACGTCCCGGCAAAAAGACTTAAGCCGGGAACAACCTCGGTTCAGACATCAGAATTTTATCTAAATCTTTGGTACTCTAGCACTAACTCTCGTTATCATGGACATCAAGAGCAATCTTTAAAAAGTTAGAGACGGTGAAATTTATTTACTGCTTCCGTCTCACATCATCGCCTTCAGTACATTGACGCATGAGAGAAATGACATGCGTCATCTGTCTGGTTAGCTGCCCTGAATAAGCCACCATTTTGTTCTTGAAAAATGAAAAAATGGTGAAATGCATTAACCTTCTTAGTTCTAATGCGAGTTTAAGTTTCCACATTCCGTCACAACGGACCCTCGATATCACTCGATAGTTCATTAACAAAGCAAATTAACCCGCGGACCCGAGGGCGTCCCTCAATAACGGGAGTTTACAATACTGATCAAGTCATGTCAATTACTACATTGTGAGCACCGGTAGACACTTTTGAATTCAAGTTAGCCCCAGTTCAGACCCATACCATGGAAGTTAACAGTCTTTTTTATAGCACCGGCTTTGATTCGCAGTTCGAGTTAGATGCTAATCTTTTCATGTACCAAGCCTAGTGAGTAGTAAATTACACTCCTTTTCGACATACATCATCAGTTATGTTTGACCTTAAGTTTGTGTATACACTTGTAGTTTGTCTCCTACCAGTTGGAATTTTTAACCACATGATGTCATGTCCCATTTAAATATTATTCGTTTCATTATCCCTAAAAAAGCCCAATAAGGCGAGAGGATAATTACAGTATTACAATGACGATGATCTCTCTAGAATTAATGTTTTTGTCCAGTGACTATTAGGGATCAACTCAGAAAATAAATTGCAAAGCTCTTGAAAAAGGGCTTCCAATACATGGTGTATATGCTACTTCATTTGTAGACGGTACATAAATCACTATGTGCTGGCAGTTAGATTGAAAAAATTGAATAAGAAAGGTTTATACTCCTACCATTAAATCCCAAGACGAAGTTCCCTGACATTAAATAGAGCTGGCCTCATATGCTTTCAACTTGAACATCTTAAAGCTATCCAGATCCTAATAATGCCATTCCACTGAAACAAAAATAAACTCATTTGTGAGAAACGAACTGTTGAATCTTAGCTTCTGGCAGGCATGAACTGAGTAGAGTAGGGGGGAGGGCCATAAACAGGAAGGAGAAGTCTCTTTTCCCCCAATCCCTCTGCCCTCTAGTATCTGCTATACTGAGGGTAGTCTAGACCAGTAAAGAAGGAACCCCAATGGATTTTTAAGGGGGTTTCCCTTATTTGAAGACGGGATCTTAAAGCAAAATGGAGACAAGATTCGGGATCAAAAGTATACACATAAGGCAGGATGTCAAAACTGACCATTAGGGTAATGGTATTGCGCTAAAATTTAGGTCAGGATGACAGGACTGAAGAACCCTATTGGACAGCCTCAGTGAAGGGTGTGTGTGTGTGTGTGTGTGTGAGGGTGTCTTGGATCCTCTGGGAAAGTACCTGAAACAATTCCATAACTGTTACATCATGGTAAGAGTAACACAATAAGAAGACTTGGGACACACATTGGCTATAAAAAAGTCTTCAGTTTCGATGAAATGTGGTACAGTTGAACCTCCACTAACGTCCACCTCTCTCTCTACAACTGCCATTTTTTTGGCTGACAGTCAATACATTCACTCTTGTTTCAACCTCTCTACAACGGCCACCTTTCTACAATGGCCACTTCCTTCTGTCCCCAAGGTGGCCAATTTAGAGATCAGGTTCACCTGTAGTTTAGAAGATTTCCCTTGAATATGGTACAGGAAAGGTTTGTAACGAAAATAGAGCTTATACGAGAATGAAACGAGGTGAACGTAAAGAGTGTACAAATAACTAGCACCTCAGCCTTTGAAGGTCAGGTCTGTAAAACCGGACTAAGGCACAAACTAGTACAGAGTACGCTTATATTAAATTGGTTTTGATTGTAAGTTCGTGTCGAATTCCCAGTACCCAATTTGATCGCAAGGACGTGACATACCCATTGAGCAGCAAAGTAGTCGCTCCAATTTGTTCTTTTCATTAGGGAAAAAGTGTAAGAGACGTTGGAAGCTTTTAAAATCAAATGAAAGAATTAAAATAGAAAGCTTAATCTAAATTTCCCAAGCTATTTTGTTTCGTCAATGAAGGAGCATAAATCACACAAACCTCAGAGTCAACCAAATTGTCTTCATTCGGTTCAAATGTATAGCCGAGTTCATAATATTTAAATATTTCACAGCGCCTTCTCTCCATTCCACTGCAAAAATATAATTGTTTGTCGCCTTCAACTTGTTTCATCGCGACCGCCATTTTAATCATAATATTGACGAGGCGCCAATCAAACCCACAAAGACTGGAAACGAGCTTGGTCCAGGCTTCCGGTTGCTTCCGGGCGGCGCACTTTGGCGATTCAAAGCGGAAACTCTAATAATCAAAGGCTCCTAGGAGCGAGCTCATGGATGAATTGAATTAGTGTAGAAAAGACAGTTCAATAATCAAAGAAAAACATATAAATCTTTTTGAACGGTTCATTGTGTACGGACTTGCCAAAATAAAAACGTGACTCGAAGTATCCGATTGCATGTGTACCTGAATATTCTAGAAACTTGTTATCAGCGCAGCATTTCTACTTACAAAGCAAAGATCACCTTTAAAAGCAATTATTAACGCTTTTTAGTTGTGAAATAATTTGCTTTCTCATGTGACTGTCAAACACGTTCCGAACGACAGTGCACTTTCTTGTAAAATAGCCAAGTTTTACATAAGCACGAGTTTTATTTAAACCGTGGTTTTAAACAATATTTTAATGCACCTCGAAGGTTTCCTAAAAGTGCGATGCTTTTAAATAAATGTTTCCATATGCTGTTCACAAAGAGTACGTAACGGTTAGTATGTGTAGTACGAGCTATATTAAATACAGAAAACAGGCGTTCATGGCTAAATTGAACTGCTTAAGAACACGCTTATGATAAACACGAGCTAAAAATTATTTAAGCTCAAAGCAGTACGTGCTCTGACCTAGCCAAGTAATTTAAACGCAGTCGAAGTATCCGATTGCCTTTCTCCACCTGTTCTAGACCCCTTGTTTATCAGGGACCGCGCAGGGGGTGGGGCTGGGGGGGCTTTAGCCCCCCCACCTTTTTTGGCTGTTGATGTTAGAACATTGAATGTTCAACTGGAAATATTTAAGTTGTTGATGAAGGACGGAGAATTTAACTGTTTTGATGACATTTTAGCCAAGATCAAGCAGCTTTCTGAAGCCGAAAAGTGTATTATAACTGAAATCATAACCCTATGTAAACTTCTTCTTGTAAATGCAGCAACCAGTGCAGCAGGCGAGAGATCCTTTTCTTCTGCCCGGAGACTGAAAACGTGGCCACGCTCGACGATGACACAAACAAGATTTAGCAATCTGACAATACTTAATACCCACAAGCAGAGAACAGACAAACTTTGTCTTATAGATGTTGCCAATGAGTTTGCAGCTCTCAATGAAAATCGAAAAAGCAACTTTGGCACCTTCAAAGAATCCGACTTAAAAATGTCCGGGTGACACTCATTCGTTGCGTCTGTTGGGTTTAGGTTAGAAGTTAGTCTATTCATTTAAATTTGGTCAAACGAGAAGGCCAGTTTGTTACTCGTTGTTTTATAAGAATTAAAAATTAACTTCACTTTGGTAGTTTTAGATCCATTTCTAGCCATTTCAGAAGACTTCAATTTCAAATTTTCCTGGGGGAGCATGCCCCGGAACCCCGTAGCTGGCTCACGCTAACGCGATCGTATTAGCCCCCCCCCCCCCCCCCCCCC